CTTGCCAAAAATTACCCACTACCAATATGTGAATAAACTAGGATTTGACCTCAGGTCTAAGCTGACAGCTTTTGATTATTGGTTATTTGGAACATACTTAGAATATTATAGTACCAAAGTTTTATCATTTCCTTAAAAAGGAGATTAAAAAAAGTTAACTGTATTTTTACATATCACAGTATTACATTTTCTTAGATAGTTTTCTAAAGGAACATTTCTCTAACTTTATAGAGAAAATTAGTGGGAAATAAAACCCAGTAGAATATGCATTTTACCTGTAAGTCTTTCTGAAACGTGGCACTAACATTCTGTTACATGAAGCTTTCTGAAGTACTTGCCTTTTTAGAGCAAAGGGAGTGATTAGAGGAAGGTACAGCAGTTGTTCCCTATCTCATAACATGTTGTAGAAGTAAAGAGATGACTTTCATAATTAATTATGAGTTAATACAAATTTCAGTTTTTAATTTGGGCTCACAAAAGCATGAGTTTAGTTGGATTCTGAAACTGAATCATGATAGACGTAGGGTTTTTTTTTGTAACTAGTGTTTTAAATATGAATATGAATTGAGCTTCTGAGACTGTGATTTTAACAGAACGAATAACCATATGTAACCCTGTTTTCCAACCTCTGCCTTCATCCCCTCTCACCCCTATTTATCAGATCCTGTGCAGTGGGAAAAGTGGGACACAGTCTCAGATTTCCACAGCATCATTTGACTCAGTAAAACCAAGTATGCCTTCCAGTTTTTGAAACCTTATATTTTACACTATACTTAAAAGATCGCTAGCTGACAAGAACAATTTAAAAATAGCAGACCATGGACAGGTGACAAAATGTCATGCTGGCAGCACTAGACTGCATTATACAAAAATCACCAGATGTCACACACTTGATTCTATTTTCACAGCTGATTAAACAGCAGTATTTGTTGGACAAAAGGAAGAAAAAAGAAATGGCCTTTTCTGAATTTGGAATCAGTTTTTCTTTTGCTGTTATATATTTTATTTTCCTCCAAAATTCCTTAATAACTGTAAAACTTAAGATATACAATATATTAAGTTAAAAATTATGAAATAATTTCAATTTTAGTAAAGAAACCTTTACACATATACACTCCCTAACCTGGAAGACTGTAAATCAAGATGTTAACAGTGCTTATCTTTGGTGAGCTTGTTTTCTCCATTTTTCTGCATTATGTGATTTTTCTCCAATGAAAATGCATTGCATTTTATAATCTAAAAATTACTTTTGGAAGAGGTTAAGAAACTAGCTTAAAGATGCTGTGAGTGATTTTACTTTAAAAAATTACATTATTAGTTGGAAAAATTAGATTATATTTAGATAATTGATTCTGATGGATATGGCTTTCTTGACCCAGAGTTTCTTGTCTTGTCTTTTCTTTTTTTTTCTTTTTGAGACAGAGTCTTGCTCTGTCACCAGGCTGGGGTGCCGTGACACGATCTCGGCTCACTGCAACCTCCACCTCCCAGGTTCAAGTGATTCTCCTACCTCAGCCTGCTGAGTAGCTGGGACTACAGGCGCATGCCACCACACCCAGCTAATTTTTTTGTATTTTTAGTAGAGATGGGATTTCACCATGTTGGCCAGGATGGTGTCCATCTCTTGATCTCGTGATCTGACCGCCTCGGCCTCCCAAAGTGTTGGGATTACAGGCGTGAGCCACGGTGCCCAGCCTGGAGTTTCTTATAAAATCTTTTGTTGCTAGCTTTCATCCAGAGACCTGTTGAAGTCAAAGAGGTCAAAGAATTAGAGAGAATACCAGGAAAGGTAAAAAGTGTTCTGCTTTTCATCAATTAGTGATACCTTCAATCTGTAAAACACTGCCTAAGCCTCTCGTTTTAATGCATCATAAGAAAGTTTAGGTTGGAAGTAATCAATGTAAGATAGAGAATGATAATTTGAAAACTACCAAGCTTCCTTTCAATTTCATCTTTCTAAGCTGAAAAGTTCTAGGAGCTCATGGAAAGGGTCAAAAAGGATCCATGCAGGTATGTTTAACTTCTGGAGGACAAAAAGGGTACCCCTTTATGTTTGGGAAACTAGGTAGTTATAGGAACATGTAAAAACTTTATTTGATATAGTGGTTGTAAACTACATAATTCTTTACTATACATGGTTGTAGACACAGGAAAGAAAAGAAGTCAAATAAAGATCAGTTAAATTCAGGCTTGCATGATTTCCTTGATAACCTTTATTATTATTCTAGGAATATTTAGGGAATATTGCTAACTTTTTAGACAGCACACCCTCCTCTAAATATTCCTTGGTTGGAGTTTGAAAAGATCCTCCATATATACGGTTTCCTTAAGTTCTGATGGGCAGTGATTTTGAAGTCTTGATGGGCTTTTAGGTAGACTTTCCAGTAACTGGCTAATTACTGTTATATTTGAATACCCCAGAAAAGGATGAACGCTGGTTTAGAGTAAATCATATCTAGTTTTCATGGATATTGGTATTTCATGATAATGAATCCAAATAAGGTCTTGATTATCCAGAAATGATGGCAAGGACATTGAGATAGCTAACTGAAATGAGAATATGCTTTCTCCCTACTGAGTCAAAGCCTTGTTCTGGTGACAGTTTTTCCTATTATATGTTCTGATAAAGGTAGTGGTAGGAGATAACACTCGTTGCTGACTATAATTTTCAGGGACTCTAAAATGACTTAGGAACTGAAAAAATGTCAGGCACATTGAACAATTACATATAGATACAGTACATGTATCTTTTAACAATGGGGTAGTTTTTGAAATTCCTAATAGTTAGCTTCTAGTAAATATGAAAAGGTTTATGAAATCTATAAAAATAAAATAGATGATTCTCTTAGATGATTCTTTACTCATATGGCTTTTTAATAGAAAACATGATCTAATCTAAGAAAATAATTTTACTATATTACAAATGCTAGCAAAATTGTCTCTGCAAAACCAGAGAGAGATGAAACATTTTTCTCCTAATAAGGTTTGAAATAATAAAAACTAAATTTTTTCATTGAAAGCTCTATAATGCTTCATGATAAAGTTAGAACAGTTTCATCAGAATCCATCAAATTCTGGTGGATTTTCTTATTTATGGATGTATTTAAGATTTTCTCATTCTTCAGTACATACATACACACCAATACAAGTGACGCTTCGCTTGCGAGGATTTTGTTTTTCCCTGCCACTTTTTTTTTTTTTTTTTTTTTTTTGAGATGGAGTCTTGCTCTGACTCCCTGGCTGGAGTACAGTGGCACAATCTTGGCTCACTGCAACCTCTGCATTCTGAGTTCAAGTGATTCTCCTGCCTCAGCCTCCTGAGTAGCTGGGATTACAGGCACCCACCACCACACCCAGCTAATTTTTGTATTTTTAGTAGAGACAGGGTTTCACCATGTCGGCCAGGCCGGTCTCAAACTCCTGACCTCAGATGATTCGACCTCCCAAAGTGCTGGGATTACAGGCGTGAACCACTGCGCCTGGCCTTCCCTACCTGTTAATATGAAATGACCTTTTACAAATTATCGTAGCCTGGGGAGACATAAGAAATCAGGATGGTCCTGTCTAGGCAAAAACTTCATTTGTTTAGGATTTGTTCATGATTCTCCCTTTTTATTTAAGGCAGATGCTCTGTTTTGTCTACTATGATGCTTTCCTTTTGGGCAAAAAGAACTTAATAATGCTATTTGCCTCCAGTCCCCCATAACAGAGTTTACTATCAAATGATGACTGACTCTTTTGCAATTATGTAATATAAAAGTATATATGTTGTAAAAATCAATCATTTTAACCTTATCTCCAGCTTTTTCTGTACTACTTTCTCCCCAAGATACTGTTGACATTTATTTAAACAATGGTAGTGAAATAAGACTAACATTTTTTGAGAATTTCATGATAACCCTTGACATAATTGAACATTAAAACCTTGCAGAGCCAAGTTTATAGATACTAGCTTTAAACAAAAGCATTGTTTCAATAACTATTTTGTTGAAGGAATTTGGTCAAGAAAGGTTTCTAAGTACTTTTTTTTTCATATAAGACTCTCTCTAATTTTTCTTTTGATACATCTACCTCCTTGTCCCAAATAATTAATGAAAAAAACATAACAAAAATGTCTGCATCTTCCATTCTTGCCCCTAGGGGCCATTAGTTGAAGCATCTGATTCTGACTTAACATCTTACAGACCAGGGGTTGACAAAAGTTGTGAAGTGCTAAAGAGTAAAGATTTTAGGCTTTACGGGCCACATGGTCTCTGTCATATATTGTTCTTTGTTTTAATTTTGGTTTGGTTGTGTTTACAAGCCTTTCTAAATGTAAATATGATGCTTAACTCAGAGGCATACAAAAACAGGAAGCCAGCCATGTCAGCAGAAGTTTGCAACTCCTGTTATAAACTTAAGGATGAACATATGGAAATTAGCATTATATTCAAGGTCATATAACTAGTTAGTGGTGAGGAGAGCCACCAGAACCCTAGATTTTTAGGCCAATCATTTTCCCCCCTTCTATCTCTTATATAAATTTTACCATCTTCCTTCTGGTTGCCATTCTGATTATTATGTTGCATTTTTAAGCCACTATGAAACCTGTCTTTTTGTTCTCTCTAAGCTTCAAATTTATATACTTGTTTGAATCTTTTTTTTTTTTTTTTTTTTTGCTGCTTGAATGGAAGAACAGTATAAATGGTTGTTTAAATAAAATGCTTAATCCAAAGAGTTGGCATGTTTAAATTGGAATGCAGGAAGTGTGTTAAATTTTAGACTATTATAACAGAAGCTTCTTTTTTGTTTTGTTTTATTTGTTGTTGAAACTTTGGCTTTAAGACTTTTCATGTGTATGTTTTATGCCTTAATTTTTAAAGCTGTTGTAACTGCTTTGGCCTTTGATAGCATTGTTATAGATTAATCCGTTTTAGATTTTTGTAATGTTTATATTTTAAGGTGTATTTGAAATGATTACATTAAGCATTCTTTGTGCTTAAAATTATTTTATTTTTTAGGACGCATGGGGATAAATTTCCATCATCCAGGAACAGATAATATTATGGCACTTAACAGTAAGTCTTCATATGAAATATTCTATGAAATTAGCAGTCAAGTTTGCAGCATGTCATTTCTACATTCTTGATTGTTGGTTACATTTTAACCTTCCACTGAATGTAGTATAGACCATTGTTTTGTACTAGTGGTTCTCAAAGTGTGGTCCCTGGACCAGCAGCATCAGCATTGCTTGGGAGCTTATTAAAATCTCAGGTCCCGTGACAGGGCTATTGAATCAGAAACTTAAGGATGAGGCCCAGAGGTCTGTATTTTAACAAGCCTGTGTGATTGTGATTCAGGCTAAAGTTTGAAAATTGCTTCTTCAAACCAGGGTTGGCAAACTATAGCTCTGCAAGCTGAATCTGTTTTTGTAAATGAAGTTTTTTTGGAATATAGCCACACTCATTCATTTATGGATTGTCTGTGGCTACTTTTGTGCTACGAAGGCAGAGCCCACAAAGGCCAAACTATTTACCATCTGACCCTTTACAGAAAATGTTTGCCAACTCCTGCTCCATACCATTGGGTTGGAGGAATGAAGAGGTAGGTGAAGGGAGAGAGGAAGTGGGGTAGAGAATGTAATGTGAATGAATAAATCAATTTATTTATACATAACTCAGAATTTTTTCATTGTGGTAGATAGCCAGGTATTTCAAGCTGGACATCCAGGCGTCTCCCATTAATGGAATTTGCATGGTATATGTGTCAGCAGCTTTACAGGTTTGAAACAGTTTTGTCAGTTTAATTGTCGGATCAAGTTCTAAAGCAGCAAAAACTTACTAACCAGGAAGTCATATTAATTAACACCAGAAGAAATATCTGGGTGGCATCAGCTCTCCTTCCTAGTGTCAATGGATCAGATAGCTTTGCAGAAGAACAGTCTCTAAATGGAAATTTTTCATTTTCAGAAGGACCTGTATAAGCCATTGAATCTTTTAGAATTTAAGTTTTCTCCTCTAGTAAATGAGTGATACCAGATTGTCCCCTCTCATCTTCCCAAATATACAAGCTGACTGTCAATACACATGGGAGACATACTGAATGAATCTAGGGTTGTGTACAATATTATTTATTTCCCTCTTGCTTGAAGTAGGTATGTTGACTGTTGTTGGAGTTCTTTAGAACAGGTTTTAGGTTATCTCTAAAACATATATTTTACATCTCCTTGGTTCTGACATGCAACCAGTGAGTACTGCTGAGAACCACTGACAGTGCTTGATGATGCAGGTCCTAAGCCTCTCCATGCATATTTTTTTCTAGATTGCTAGTATCCCTTCCTTTTGGCGGGGTTGAAGGGGAGGTGGTCTTAGAGACAATAAAAATTCCAAGGTATCTACCTCTAATTTTCTAACTTCTAAATGAAAGGTCACTTTAAATTTAGATTATGCTGCCTCTAACTTTTTTTCTAGTGTGATGGGAATTAATAAACATGCTTAACTTGCTGAACTTGTGCAATAATTAATTGTGAAAAGACTTCAGTTAGATTATGGGATTTAAAGTTGAATGTAGAAGAAAAGAACAGTATGGTAGTGTGTCTGCCTGAAGGAATGAGTGTGTATCTCAAAAATACCTAATTGACATGATGTGAATCCTCTTCTGCAAGAGGGAGAGGATATAGTTTGTGATTTTCTGTGGAAAAAAAATGGAGCTAAAATACATTTTTCTTTTTAAAAGCCTTTTATTTTCTTTGGTTTGATTTTCTTTACTTCTCTGCTTTGAAATCCAAGATTTCATTTATGCTCTTTCCGTTTTGTTCATGTTGTGCAAATTCCCCTTTTAGCTTCAATTTCTCCAATCCTTGAGAAAAGGGGGCTGATTAGGTAATCTTAATGATCGTTTTCAGCATGAAGATACTGTTACTCTGTAATTTTTTTTTAAGTACTGAAAGGGCCATTTTGCTGATATCTGTAACAAATATTGATGAGTTACACATACTTGCAACAGATATCAGAGTGCATCAATCTTTGAATGTCTCTGTGGTTGCTGCCCAAGGTCGAAGAACCTTGTTGTCTTCTTAAAATAAACCATACAAACAACCAGAGTTTGATGTTTACGTTACAAAGTTGACTCCAGCTTGAGATGATCGGAACAAAAATATCCTCCATAGTAGGTTCTTGTGGGACCTGCAGGCTTTGACAAATTTGCTGGGATAAACCTTGTTTTCCCTTTCATACAGTTGATCCCAGCCCATCTGGTGACTTACATATGTAGCATATGCACAAACATAAACACACTTATCTATTATTTTTGTCTTCTTTTTAAAAATATGTATTTTTATATTTTGTAGAGAGAAAGTGTTGCTATGTTGCCCAGCCTAGTCTTGAACTCCTTGCCTCAAGCTATCCTCCCACCTCAGCTTCCCAAAGTGCTGGGGTTGGAGGTGTGAACCATCACACCCAGTCTTTCTTTTTATGCCTACTGTTTGTTGCCCTAACACTTTTTGTCCTGTAACTGGTCTATCCTTCTTCCTTTCTCTCAACCATCATGTAGGAATAATTGAGATGGCTGGGCACAGTGCCTCACACCTGTAATCTCAGGACTTTCGGAGGCCGAGGTGGGCAGATCACTTGAGGTCAGGAGTTCGAGACCAGCCTGACCAACATGGAGAAACCCTGTCTCTACTAAAAATGCAAAAATTAGCTGGGTGTGGTGGCACATGCCTGTGATCCCAGCTGCTCAGGAGGCTGAGGCAGGAGAATCACTTGAACCCAGGAGGCAGAGGTTGCAGTGAGCCGAGATCATGCCACTGCACTCCAGCCTGGGTGACAGAGTGAGACTCCATCTGGAAAAAAAAAAAAAAAAAAAGGAATAATTGAGAAGAAGTAACAAATCCTGAAATCCTGAAACACTGTTAACTCAGAATTTGTGATTATCGGAAGGGACTAGGTTGAAGTTAAGCTGTATTTTCAGAAAAGAAGGGATTGGCTAAGAAAATTATAGCAAATTGAGGCAGTTTAAATTTTTTTAAAAAAGAAAATGTGAGTCAGCTGTAGTTCTTTCTTACCCTTTTTTGCTATGTGAAATTTGTGCTTCCTAGGTCTCTATGGAAAGCTGCCATTCATTATGTTTTCCAAAAGATCTTCCATCCTTTTTTTACTTTCTTGACCTCACCAAAACCTGTCTCCTAAAGATATGGTCTCAGTTCTCCTGTCTTTATGGGAAAGATAGATGTCATTATATACATTCTTCTCAGTACTACTTTCCAGCTTTGAATTGGCCAAGTTCCCATTTTTTGGTGTTCCTAGTGCATGCCCTCCAGTTATACCTTCCTCCGAGAATCACCACTGCTGACGTCATCTAGAAGACAGAAAATGAAACTTGGAAGAGAAAGATAGGATACCACTATGGAAGACAAATAGGAGTTACCAGTAAACCTTCAGACATTTAGGGTGTGGAAAAATTGGCAAGGTTTGTGTAAACCAAAGAGTCTACTGATTTTTCCTGTTCAAGACCGTGAATCTATTAATAATAAGAATTGGCAGGCCAGCCTTTATGGAGGAACCCAAGAGGCACATTCCAAATTTTGGCCTTTCTCAAAATATTAAGTCTTCAAGTATTACAGAATATAGAAGGCGAGGTAGGGGGAAGAAACTCTAATCCATCAGTAAGACCTGCCACTTGTCCAGTATTTCCAAAATAAAGTTAGTTCTGAAGCAATGTACCCCTTCCACTTAATCAGGTAATATAATTTTTTCTTAACTGTTTAATAATTCTGCCCATTATATTTTAATCTTCCTTTTAAATGAAAACACTTGACATTTGCATAATATATTTTAATTTTTCCCACTGGAGAAAGAAGGCTGCTAAGAGTTCTTCTAGCTACGTATGTAGTAGTAGTGCTACCATCCATATTTTTCTAATACTAATAGTAGCCTGTGTTTCCTTTTTCTTTTTCTTTTTTACATTCTAGGTCAGGGATTTCCAACCTTATGACTTCCCTGGGCCACCTTGGAAGAATAATTGTCTTGGGCCACAAATAAAATACACTAACACTAATGATAGCTGGTGAGCTTAAAAAAAAAAATCACACACACAAAAAAATCTCATAGTGTTTTAAGAAAGTTGACGAGTTTGTGTTGGGCCGCATTCAAAGCCATCCTGGGCTACATGTGGCTTGCGGGACAGAGATTCGACAAGTTTATTCTAGGTGTAGAGTTGGTTTAGCATTCGTGGTCTTGTGTAGGATTGATGCCTGACTTGGTGACTTTTCCTCTATTATGTTGATCCTTAGAAAAGGATACTGGTGCCTCCATGGTTCATCACATGAACCAAATTTATGTTCAAAATCAGCATGCCTAGTCTTTACTCCATTTAACTGGTCAGTTCCTCTTTTTCCAGGTAGAAAATGGGCTTGGGAAAACAGAATATCGGAATATGGGAAAACAAAATATCGGGAAGTTGCTTGATAGGTACAAAAGTAGAAACTGGGAGTAGTGTTTCTGAAGGAATAGTATCATTCAGTTCTAGGAAGATGTCTTTGAAGCAGGCTGGAAAGCATGTGAAACCTGAAGATGCAGCAGTGAATTAGCGAAGCCAAAAGCGTCTTCTGGAGTTGGGTAGATCCCATTCCCCCTTTACAAGCTATATGGCCTTGAGGCCACATTCTTAACTCCTCTTTGCCTCTGATTTTTTCACCTGTAAAATGGAGAGAGAAATCAGTAAAGTGGTTATATATATATTTTATAAAACTTAGTATAGTGCCTGATTTGTAGATAATGCTCATATGAGCTGCTATTGTGAATGCTTGCAACAGCCTTATTATTACCTTTAAAGATCTTTCTTTCTTTACATATTAGTTTCCAAAATATAAGTTTATCTCACATTGGTTACATTTAGGTAGATGCTTTCCTGATAGAATTTAAGACAGCACCCCTGTAAGTCATTTGGTTACATTTATGTATTTATTTGGAGACAGAGTCTCACTCTGTCGCCTAGGCTGGAGTGCAGTGGTGTGATCTCGGCTCATTGTAACCTCTGCCTCTTGGGCTCAAGCGATTTTCCTGAATCAGCCTCCCGA